CTATATATTACATTAAAATTGTCAAAAAATAGTGAAAATAAACTCCATACAAAACAGTAATGTCCATATTTATGATTGTTTGTTGCACGTTAGTTGTATGTCTTCGCATATTCACCTTGTGTACTCAATCAAATAATATGCTGTGAAATAATAGGCTCTATATAAGGATACTAAAGCTATACATGTTTTTGTATGTAATATATAGTTCGATGATCAACATCTTTTTCTTTTCAGATCTCTCCTAGAAGATATGTACATAAATCAGTTCCACCTGATGCTGTAGGTAGTGGAGTTGGATACAGTACTGTAGTGATACCCGCAGTAGATTATCTAGAGGTCTATCTGGCCAGTGTTATTAGTCCGGGTAATTTCTGTATCCAAATAAAGAGTGATGAGACATCAGTAGCATTGGACATTGTCATGGATGCATTAGAGTATGTATATAAGATTAATAATTTGCATGTTTCAGGGAGCTGGAATCTGATCTGTGTTGTTATGATGCCTTTAATCAGATTTGAACAAAACTCACATATGCACATGCCTCTGGTTGTTTTGCAACTAAATCTGATGAATGTTTAGGTCTAATCTGTTAACTCAAGCTAGTATGTCTGTTGATACTTTGTCTATATGTGATGTCAGGGATGTATTGAAAACAATGCACTTGTTGTTTACAATGAATATACATTGTTTTTACAAATGTGTAAATTAAAATGATACAAATGATAATTGAATGAATACATGTCAACTGACATTAAAAGCACATGTACACAAAATTATGTTTAATGTATGTTCAATCATTAAAACGTGATTTATTTTGACCATAGACACACCTGGCATATATGTAAGCACTGTTAATATCATAATACATGTAGTATTTAATAATAATTGTCAATTAGAACTGGCTATGCCACTTAAATGTGGTTTTATGGTATCAAATGTTTTAGTATGCACAGGTTTTTCATATTTTATTTAGTTTTGAATTTTTTTTTTTTTTTTTCAGAAAAATCTACTGCAGTTCTGAAAGTGAACATTATCAAATGCCAGATTGTATGTTGGCTGTTGGACAAGTATGCTGTGCAATATATCAGCAGGATTCCAACTGGCACCGGGCTTTAATCACTGGTGTTAGAGACTCTGAATTCATAGAGGTAAAATTAAATAGAAACAAATCATTGTCAATGACATAGTCCTTATCTGTTTTTTAACTCAATTTACCTTTGAGGACATAAAATTGTCTTCCTAACAACTGGACAAAATTAGTCAAGCAACATCCAAGATATGATTAATGATACATTAAAATAAACACATCATGGTCGCCAGCCGGCCATTTTAAACCAAATAACCCTTCCAAACAAATGACCTGAATCTGTAAAACATCTTGTGTAGTGTCTTCACTAAGTTTCATTGAAATCCAGAAATAAGTGAAGTGAATCATAATGTTTGAATGCCTTAGTTTGAAATTTAAACAAAATCTATAAAAGTGTATCTAAGAAATTGCTGGAGATGATGTAAAAGAAGCAAAATGGTCACAATCAGCTATTTCATCAGATCATGAAATTAATTGACTGAAATATTCAAACTTTTGTATTGTGGATGGTAAAGTCATTATACTTGAATGTATTATCCATGTATAATTTTTATTTTATTTTGTTGAAGGTTTTATATGTTGATTATGGTAATATTGCAATTGTGCCGAAGAGTTGTCTTAGACTTTTAAAGTGAGTATATACTTAATACTTGTATCATTTTCCATATTGGTCTGCTGAACCATATAGATGATGCTGAGTCAAGAGTCTGTCTGTCTGTCTGTCTGTCTGTCTGTCTGTCTGTCTGTCTGTCTGTCTGTCTGTCTGTCTGTCTGTCTTCTGGGTGAATAGATGGCTGTGGTCGACTTCTTTTCAAAAACGATGAATCGCTTGACTGGATTTTTGTTGTCTTGATGAGTGTAGATAGAAAATTGTTCATGTGAAGTAGATCGACCAACCATTATGCAAATCATCTATCAAAAACTATACAAATGCTTATATGACTTACTGTAAAGTTACTTTATTTTCACTGAAAGAATTAGTAAGTGGGGGGAAATTTAGTGCAAATACCATTTCTCTTATATCTTACATTCAAATCAGCAAAAATCAACTTTATACAAAAAAGCCAAAATTCCAGCTGTTTATTTGAGTTTCTGTCTCTGCAATTCCTGTGTGCTGATTCGCTGCTTCTCGGGGCCTCTTCAAAACAGGCAAGTAGTGGTTGTTCAGTCTGGCTGCCATTTTTGACTCCCATGTGCGAAGCACAAAATGGGAGTCTTTGCAGTTAGTCTGTATGTATGTGTGTGTGTGTGTGTGTGTGTGTGTGTGTGTATGTGTGTCCGACTGTTCCACTGCTATCTCAAGAACCATACATCGGTTTTTGATGAAACTTGGGCCATTGCGCAGATTTGATTAGGTTTTGGTAAGAATCCATGCTCGTTAATTACCTAATTTGCATGATAATTAGATAATTTTTAGCTGTTCTATGACTGTTCCACTGATATCTAAAGAACCACTCATTGGATTTTGATGAAACTTGGTACATAGATGCTCTGAACATATGCGCAGATTTGATTAGTTTTTGGTAAAAATCCGTGCATATTAATTACCTAATTTGCATGATAATTAGCTATATTTTAGTGGTTCCATGACTGCTCCACTGATATCTAAACAACCACTCATTGGATTTTGATGAAACTTGGTACATAGATGCTCTGAACTAATGCTAGGTTTTGATTAGTTTTTGGTAATAATCCGTGGATACTAATTACCTAATGTGCATAATGATTAGTCAATTTTCGGTTTTTCCACTGATATCTCAAGTACTAATCATCACATTTCAATGAAACTTGGTACATAGATT